TCCTCTCACTGTTGCGACCTCTCCCGTTGCGGAGCACAGGCTCCGGACGTGCAGGCTCAGCGGCCATGGCTCACGGGCCCAGCCGCTCCGCAGCATGTGGGCTCCTCCCAGACCAGGGCACGAACTCGTGTCCCCTGCATTGGCAGGCGGACTCTCAACCACTGCGCCACCAGGGAAGCCCAATGATGTCAAATTTAAACACGGTTCAATTGTTATAACAGGTTTTTTTGGAAGTCTTCATTTCACTTCATTATTTATGGTTTTAAATTTCTTCTTAGGCATATCACACCTGAAAAATTTTATGTGGAAGCTTGTGATGATGGAGCAGATGATGTACTTATCATCGACCGTGTGTCCACAGAAGTTACACTCTCAGGTATTTCATGGCCAGATTTAGAAGTGTCTAGGAAGATTTTACACTTAAGTTGCAATAGTTAAATTAATGAGATCCATGTGAGTGTGTGGATATCTGAGTGTCTTCTTAGAAAATTTTAATTCTTGCTACCTCATTTGATTTTTATGCATTAATTGTATGCTTTTTCCTTTTCATGAAAAGGAGAGATGATCTTGAAAATTTTAGGTAGCATTTTATTATTCATAAGGATTTAAAAACTTTATTTGTTCCCTTATCAATACCATAACAGGATTGGTTTTGTTGATATGTTAGGTTCCTTTCTAGCTGTAAGATTTGAATTATTTGAGTGTGAGAAAGTTGTTTTAGCATTAAGTGTGTGGAATGTTAATAGCTGATTTGTTTTTGAAAATATTCATGACTATGAGGATAATTTAATAAATGAAAAATAATATATAAATCACTGGGTAAAACTTGTGTTTTAGGCAGAATGATTTTCCTAAGCTTTATCTATCTATCTTATCTATCAATCCAGTTATAATTTAGCTTTGCTTCTCTGGGGTGTGGAAAGCAACTTGTTTTTCAGTTGTGTGGAACACTGATTTCTGACTAGATTAATGTGAAGTAATTTTGGTAACGAATTAATGTATCATGTGATATCACATTTAGAATTTCATATGTTTAAAAATTTACCTCTAGATAGTGTTCTGTATTAATTTTTTTCTGAAGGGCAGTATTTGAGTAACCATAGAGTAGGCATTCGGTAAATGGTAAATATCCTTTGAACGGATTAAGTGAAGCATGAAAATATTTTGCATAGGACACTAAAGTGTAAGAAAGGTAGGACTATAAATCTCCATTTCCTTGGTTGTCTGCTTTTTCTGGTAAGCTTTTCCTTTGACCAAATAAAGTAAGAGCTGCTTTAGTTTGATAATTTGGCATTTCCTGTGACTGTTGCTTGGTGACTGCTCTCAGAATAGCTGACTGATTTTAACCACCCTTAGTGTACTTCTGAAGTTTAGTCCCACTACTTCTTTATAACATATTGATACAACCCAGTGTCTTTTTTATTTTTTTGGAGGGGGGGGGGCGGGCTGGGGGGGGTGGGCCTTGCCACGAGGATCTTAGTTCCCCGACCGGGGATCCATCCCGTGCCTCCGGCAGTGGAAGCTCGGAGTCCTAACCACTGGACCACCAGAGAATTCCCTGCCACCTAGTGTCTTATAAAAGCTTTAGTATGGATGTATTTTCAATTATTTTTTGTCCTTTCAGTGACATTTTATTTGTACGTAGAGAATGCAGACCCATTCGAGTGGACAAAGCTAAAGGTTTTGAGTAGTTTGGGTGTAAAAATGATAACCAAACAGTCATTGGTAGACACATGAAGAGATACTTTGACCTGAAGCTAGTGATGATGAGGGGCTGTCGATCACAATCTGGCAGTTTCCTTTTACCATTGGGAATACAAACCATTGCCACCGAAAGAGGAATTTTTTTTCTTCCCTGAAAAACCAACATAGTCTTAGGAATTATCATAGTGTTATTGCTATTACGCTCCAGTTAATGTAACTTACAGCTGTAGCAGTAGTACATTTATGTTTATCAGTGATCTCAGTATATTCAGAATCTTCTCTGAGCTTTAAACTGCACTGGTATTTCCATTTTTCATGGTAATTAATTATGGCATAGTATTGCTAAGTAAATTGAATTTTTGAGAGAAACAAGTGAATTTTAGACCTTATTCAGAATTAGTTTATTTAGAAAAACAGGACTGCCTTTAAGAAACAGGACTGGAGTTTACAGCAGTGTTTCAGAATGGGTCCCAGGCTGATTATTAAACTGTGACTGAAGGAAAAATTTTATAGCCACATAGGTTTGGAAAACTTTGAATTAAACAGTGGAACAGCTTTCATTTACTGTAGGCCTTCTCAGAGCCTTTAATTTCCTACTGTGCATTGTGACTCTGGGAGAAGGAGCAGGGTTAGTATGGATGTAGCAAAATAAGTTTCTTTGACTGGGAGACCCTACCTCCCCCCTTTTCGGGCATTATTCCCTAAACTAGAGTTCTACAAAATACGTTTTGTGAAACACATTGGCTTAAAGTTTAACAATTGTGAAATGAACCTTGTAATGTAAGGTAGTCTTTATTAATAACGGCATTATTGATAAAATCGCAGCTAATGATATTGCCTCCCGGGATATCTGTATCAGTTTTCTTTCAGACGTGAACAGGAGGCTTTTCCTTCCTCCTCCCCTCTTGGATCTTGGCCTCCATGTCTCACCTTCTTACTAGGGAATTAGGCGAGTCCGTTTTTGCATTCCATTTGTTGCATGTTGAGATTAAAATCTTGTTTCAACTTCCATTTACTTTCTAATTCTCTTAAAGAGGTAAAGATTTGGTTTCTGACGAGGTTGAATAAATTTGGTTGAAAATTGGCATTGGAAATAACCCTTAATTTACGTAGTGAGGTTGCTGAAGCATGTTACTTTTGGCACCATATTCTAGACAGGCAGAGACCTTTACGTGTAACATGGACATCTTTATTTTATATTCTGCCAAAGTGGAGGTCTAACACTAATGAAGGAATATTGTTTTCTTAGAACAAAGCGTGCATATTGAAGTAACCATTGAAATGAAACTACATTTCTCTTTCAGTTGGTGATCTTTTTCTAAGTGATTTTTCTTTACTTTCTTCTTTAAAGTCAAGAAAGATATTCCTCCTTCAGCTGTCACAAGACCAATATTTGGTATACTGGGCACAATTCATCTGGTGGCAGGTAAGAAAAATGAGCTAAGATGGACAAGAAGGTAATTAAATCTACGCTATTAGAGTATAAGATGGAAGGCACACTTTATATGTTGCTTTAGGCAGTAAATCTGTAGGTGTTTGTCATTAATTTCTAAAAGTAATATACCCCAAATAGCAAGTGGTTAAATTTGTAAGCCTGAGGTTCTTTTTTTTTTAATTAATTAATTAATTAATTTATTTTTGGCTGTGTTGGGTCTTCGTTGCTATGTGCGTGCTTTCTCTAGTTGGCGACGAGCGGGGGCTACTCTTCATTGTGGTGCACAGGCTTCTCATTGCGGTGGCTTCTCTTGTTGCAGAGCACGGGCTTCAGTAGTTGGGGCTCATGGGCTCCAGAGCACAGGCTCAGTAGATGTGGCACACGGGCTTAGTTGCTCCACGGCATGTGGGATCTTCCCGGATCAGGGCTCGAACCCGTATCCTCTGCATTTGGCAGGCGGATTCTTCACCACTGTGCCACCAGGGAAGTCCTGGACCAGAGTATTCTAAACCTTCAACTCCGTGGTTCTGTGTTATTAGGAAAGTGATGGTTTTTAATCTAAATTTTATTTCATTGAACTTTTGAAAAGTTCCTATTGTATCAGGCACTGTGCTGGATGTTATTTATAAAAGATGCAAGTCCCTTTTGTCCTGTAGCTTACAGTTGAGTGAGAGAGGCATTTAAATCGTAAATTACTGCAGAACAGTGTGACAAGTTCTAGGACAGAGATGTACATAGGAAAACTTTCAGGGAGGGCACTTGTGGTTAGAGCCTTGAACAGATGTGAAGAATTAATCTAGTGGTAAAGGCTTACCCTGGTTTGTTTGTGGGAGGAGGAGGTGGCCAGGATCAGAGTTGGTGTATTAATGCATGGTGCTGGGATCACTTCTTGATTCCTGACCACTCATCTTTGGAATGTTGCAGTAACCAGTTAGTTATACTGCCCCAGCACATTTCTCTACCATTTAGAATGACATGAAGGACATGGGAGGTGTAGATATCTGCAGTGGCCAGATATGACCTATGATGCTTTAAGCTACACGTCGGGAAATGCATTAGCAGAGGCCCGTATGCTTTGGGGATGACAGGAGAGTGAGAGAGAAGTGTTTTCTGTCTCTACTTTCCGTCTGCTAGGATCACTGCTCTGGTTACCAAAAGCTTTTATCTTTCTGAGAAAATAATTGATCTTTCAGTAAAAATTTGTCTAAATAGTATGCTGGTCTTTCTATTCATAAATTATAAGATTGCTTTTCAAAAAGTATGGGTCCTTTATCTATTTAGCACAGCTCTCGCCTTTATTTATTTTTATTTATTTGGGCTGCGCCACAAGGCTTGCAGGACCTTAGTTCCCTGACCCGAAATCAAACTTGCACCCTCGGCAGTGAAAGCGCGGAGTCCTAACCATTGGACTGCCAGGGAATTCCTGTAACTCTCGCCTTTAAAGAATAAGGACTGCTATTTCTGGCTTTACAGTTGCTTTATTTCTATTTATGTGTACTTGGCTTTGCTTTTTTGCAGGTAATTATCTAATTGTCATTACCAAGAAGAAAAAAATAGGTGAATTTTTCAGTCATGTAATCTGGAAAGCAGTAGATTTTGATGTCCTTTCTTATAAGAAGACAATGTTGCACTTAACTGATATTCAGGTAAGAACTGGAAGCACTTACTAATTGCAAAATCCAAAGAAGTCCCGTTGGGGTGGGTGGGGAAGGGAGGTGGAACACAAAGAATGGATTTCTTTTTTTTTTTTTTTTTTTTTGCGGTACGCGGGCCTCTCACTGTTGTGGCCTCTCCCGTTGCGGAGCACAGGCTCCGGATGCGCAGGCTCAGCGGCCATGGCTCACGGGCCCAGCCGCTCCGCGACATGTGGGATCTTCCCAGACTGGGGCACGAACCCGTGTCCCCTACATCGGCAGGCGGACTCTCAAGCACTGCGCCACCAGGGAAGCCCTGATGGATTTCTTTTAAACCTAATCATTTAAACAATGTATAGAGAGCATGGTCACCCTACATACCTAGCCCTAAAATGTATTTTTTTTAAAACTGTTCATATATTTTATTGCACTTGGGTTTTTTTTTAACTGACTCAATTCTTAGATGTGAAATTTCATACGAGAGAAAAGGACAGACTGAAAATGCACATGTAGTCAACACGTAGATTTAACTTCATATCCTTTTTGTGAAGAAATAAAATATTAAATATCTTTCCACCATTGTAAAGCAGTTTTACTCCAATAAAGTTGTTAAAAGAAATGAAATAAAAGGAATGTTCCTGTATATTACTAAAAAAAAAAAATTATCTTTGAAGTTCCACTCATCCCGTTTCATTCCCTCTTTCCCT